GTGAAATGAGTTCTAGCAGTTCACAAACACACACACACACACACACACACACACACACACAAACACAGCATTTTAAAACACAATTTATCGAGCTGCCGAGCCAGTCCTGTCTCTCCCCAGTTAATTGTCCTCTGTAGCATATGCTGGAAGGCTTGCTTTCCGGTTTGCTGTCTGTCTGCCCCCCAACTTCCCCATCTTTCAATTCCTCCCTCTCTCCTTCTTTCATTTTCACACTACCAGTCATGGAGATGTGAGTCTGTCATTTGCACTTACTCCTTTAGAAAATGACAAAAACAGACATTTGCCACAGCCATTGGGTATCTCTGGCAGTCTGGAACATAATAAGGAAACAATAACTGTTTTCCTTTGTGAACTTCCAGCTGCCAGTTTGGAAGTTTCAGAAATAGATGCATAGAACTGTTACATGAAAAGCAGCAGACAGGGGAAAAAAAATTTAAATGTCATGCTTTTTATAATAATAATTATGTATATGTATATAAATATATGTATATATTTAATAGTGAATTGGTGGGTTTTTGTTAAATGTGAGCCAAAATCATCACAATTAAAAGAACCAAAGACTTAAACTACTTTAGTCTGTGTGCATTGAATTTATTTAATACACGAGTTTCACAATTTGAGTTGAATTACTGAAATAAATGAACTTTTCCACGACATTCTAATAAAAAACAGGAAGGGGGCAAAAACTTTTTCACACCACTGTATATATATATATATAATTATTATAATTATATTATAATTATACAATTATTATAATTATAATACAATACAATTATAATTAATTTAGATGCTTGGAAAAAAATGGATTGGCAGTCAATAAAGAGTCACCTTTTCAGCCAGAGAGAAAAGGAAACAAAAGGTATGCAGGTAATTTTATGCCTTTAAGAGCCCTACAAAATCAAGGCACTGGTAAAACAACTACTACAATATTGTAAAAAAATAAAAAATAAAAAATAACTGGGTCATAAAAAACAGGAAGGGGGCAAAAACTTTTTCACACCACTGTATATATATATATATAATTATTATAATTATATTATAATTATACAATTATTATAATTATAATACAATACAATTATAATTAATTTAGATGCTTGGAAAAAAATGGATTGGCAGTCAATAAAGAGTCACCTTTTCAGCCAGAGAGAAAAGGAAACAAAAGGTTAAACAGGTAATTTTATGCCTTTAAGAGCCCTACAAAATCAAGGCACTGGTAAAACAACTACTACAATATTGTAAAAAAAAAATAATAAAAAATAAAAAAAATAACTGGGTCATGGTAACCAACTAAACCTTGACCACTTGATCTTCCAGAAGAGCCGGCCTACCAATGGGGGGAAAGCAAAGTACGGTTCCCTTAGTTTCCCATTCAATTCAATGTGAAAGGATAAAGAAATAAAGAAATATCCAATAGACTTAGATTTGCCTATTTTAAATGTTTTTCACGTCAAACAAAGCAAAAAATCTAGGAGATTTTTTATTTATTTTTTTCGCCTTCAATGTAATAAAACCAACAAAGGACGGTCACTGCAGTGAATGCAAGCAGTTCAGGGACAAGCTGACAGGAGACTGTAGCAAACACATAGGAATTAGAATCAAACCACCAAACACTTTGTGGCATTCTGGACCATTTGAATGCTGTTCGAACCAAAGTAACCTCTGAAGGTACTAGAAACATGGTGAGGTCATGGGTTTGATTCCCATGAAGCACACATACTTGTAAAGTGTACTTTGAATACACTGCAAGGCGCTATAGATAAAAGTGTCAGTCAAATGAATAAATGTACATACAAATGCAAGTCACTTCAGAGAAAAGCATCTGTTAAATGACTACTCACTAAGAATAATAATTGCAAAACAATAACTAACACAATAAGGATAAGTGGCCCCTCTCAAAATGAATCTCGTGTCTAACTGTCCATTTCATTCCAAGCACATATGGATTTATTTATCGTGTCACCTTAAGCGCAGTCCTTGATGCTGTTCTAATTGAGACACCTGCTTCCTGTCAGACCTGAATTTACAGGACAGAGTGCTTTTCATTTTCATGGTGCTTGATCTCAGGAACCTTTCATGTCTGGAGAAATAAGTCTCTTTTGACTCCGCCGCCACCGCCACAATTCCCTGGACAAAGACCTTTCAAGTTTTAAAGTGTTGTTCTTGTTGCCTCTCAAATATCATTATTATTATTATTTTTTTTTAAAAACCATCAGTCGTTATCAAATAAAATCCAGCTGATTTGCTGAGAGAGGAAGGTGCGCTTTGATTTACCTGAACAGTCAGTCGGTCGGACGGTCTGTAACTCTCCTGGTCCGAGGGAAGCCTTTATTACTGTTTGTATTTGAGGACCACGAAAGGAAGATCACATGGCGTTCTGAAACAACAGATAACCACAGGGGAGTCTGGAGTGCAGTGGTTGAGTTTGCTTAAGGGACAGCGGAGTGAACTGACACTGAAAGCACAGCAGATTTTCATTGGTGTGTTTTTCCCTTTTATAAGTGGTAAACAGAACAAAAAAGATCACTAAAACATGTACAGGATAAACCCTAGAATCAAAAGGGAAAACAAGAGCAAAAATGATTACTATTGGAGAGATGTAGCATTACATCACTTGCTGACCATCGGATCCTCTGCAGTGAATGGGTGCCGTCAGAATGAGAGTCCAAACAGCTGATAAAAACATCACAGTAATCCACAAGTAATCCACACCACTCCAGTCCATCAGTTAACATCTTGTGAGGGGAAAAGCTGCATTTGCAAGAAACAAATTAATCAAGACATTTTAACTTTAAACTGCTACTTCTGTTCAAAATACGAGTACATAATCCATAATAACGCTTCCTCCAGTGAAAAGGTCCATCTCCTGTTGTCTCTCAAATTAAAATCCATCAACAAATTTGTTTAGGACTGTTTTTGCTTGTAAACTGTGCATATGTCTCTCCTAATTCAAATAAGACGACCTTTTCACTGGAGAAAGCAATATTATTGATAGAGGATTCATATTTTAAATGGAAATAATGGTTTGAAGTTTAAAATGCATTAACAATTGATTTTTACCTAACAAAAACATAGCTTCTGGCTTCTCAAGACATTAACTGATTGACTGGAGTGGTGTGGATTACTTGTGGATTATTGTGATGTTTTTTATCAGCTGTTTGGTCTCTCATTCTGACGGCACCCATTCACGACAGAGGATCCACTGGTGAGCAAGTGATGCAATGCTACATTTCTCCAAATCTGTTCTGATGAGGAAACAAACTCATCTACATCTTGGGTGGCCAGAGGGCCAGAGAGTAAATTCTCAGCAAATTTTCATTTTTAAATGAAAAAGTAATTATTTGTTAAAATAATACAGTAATCGATGTGAAAATAATTGTCATAATATTTGCTGTAACTTACAGGAAAGAAATCCAAGATCAAAAGATTTTCTTTTTTCTTTTTTGGTGTATGTGTATTTCTCATTCAATACTGTATTTTTGTTAGAAAATCAATTACAGACTGTTTATCTCTTAAAACTGGTGATGCTGCACCAATGACTTTTTTTTTTTTTGAGAAACTATACATAATTAAAATCTTTCCACTTAACTAATTAACTTCAATTATAAAGGCTGTGAGCACACAGATGCACTCATCAGCAGCATGAAATTGCTTATTATTCACATGTAACCCGCTCTTAATATCAAGAAAATATTTTTTCCATACTTGCCAAGCCAATTACCATTGACACTAATGACACAGGAACGCATGGTGTTGTGCCGTGGTTTTATGTTTAAATAATGTTTTAATGATAATATTAAGCTTCTTATTTGAGTAAACATTGTCTACCTGCAGTATTGTTGCTAATGGACACAAATCTGAGCTCTCAGAGGATTTCTGATCGAGTTATCCAATGTATAAAAGACATAAAATCCCTCAAATTATATCTTAATCTGCTTAAAAAGCAGGGATAACTTTACAAACATTTTAATACAAAATCAAGCGTAGCGTTAGTTCTGGCAGGTCACGTTAGTCAAGCTCGCATCAGCTGACTCTCAGCTGATCCCCATCAACCTATGGGAATACGACACCTAAGTATTCATATATGAGGTCCCGCAGTAGTATCAGCAGTTTTCGCATTGCTCAATAGCTAATTACCCTCCTCCATCCCCAGCTCCTCCTCTGTCAGTCAGGATTCAGCCTTCTGAGTATCCTTTGAATCAGACTAATTCTAAAATGTGTACATAAAATTATTGAACTTTAATGATATCTGCAATACATTTATGTTGGTTCTGTTCTGAAATGGTAATGTGCATCGGTGCAAATAAATGTTGCCTCTCCCTGTGCTGCTGTAAGAAATGTATGTGTGATCGGCTGTGTTTCCAGTTTGATGAGGTGATAATGTAAATTTCTATATGATTTTGAACATTATAAGAGGAAAATAACTTGTATAAATGTTAATAAAGTGTATTGTGTAATCTCAGACTTAATCTCAGATTTGATTTGATTTGATGGGATGGGGGGGGAAATCAATTTTGGGACCCAGAAAAAGGGTAACACTTAATAACTTTCATTAATAAATCATTAACAAACATTATATAATGCTTAATGGATCATTAGTTAATATATATATTCAAAAAGTTAGAAACGTGAGATAATGTACTTTTTAATGTTTGCTAATAAACTTCTTAAACATTAGATAATGTTCAAACAAATCATTATTTCATGCAAGTTAAAATGTCATTAAACTTTCAATGCCATATGATGAAGCACTTATTGAAAATCTACAAATAATTGTAACAATTTTAATAAAATGATTAAAAGCTTGTGTTAATGCACAACACTTTTGCTGCTGTTGAGGTGGGATACGGGTAAGGTTAGGGACAGGTTTGGTGGTATGGGTAGGTTTAAGGGTTGGTTAAGAGGGTCACCAGTGTACAGGGTTCAATTTGATTATTATAAGGGGACACGATTCAATCTGTTTATTGAGTATTTTCTTTTAAAACATGATTTGTTTTCCCATTTACTTATGATTCAAGGACTATCCTGTTTAATGATACACTGAAGAGTAGTATACTAATGCGAGTGTTGAGGCAATAAAAATATTTTTTGCACCAAAATTTTAATCTGTTATTATATTTAATCTGTCTTTAGCAAGCATTTTGCTAAACGTAACCAGCAACCTTTCACACAAACCTTGTTACATTAGCTAAAAGTCCAATGCCCATAAAGATACTAAATGATTAGTAATCGTTTATAACATTTACAAATGATGAATATTTTACACTTTAGATTGGCTACTGCAAAAACATGAACAAATGATTAATAAATGATTAGTAAAGATGTGTGAATAGGGTAAATGCAGGTCTTTCTGGACACTTTTTGCCATTGAGATGCCTGCTCATAAAGGTATTAATGATTAGTAAACATTTATAAACATTGCAAAATGATGAATAGTTTCCACTTTAGATTGGGTACTGCAAAAACA